TTGGTGGATGGCTTCTCTCACCCCTCCCTGCCTCTGCCCGAGGAGGAGCGTGAACCTGCACAAGAGGAGGACACTCTTACTCTGTACCTGGTCATCGCCTTGGCGTCTGTGTCTTCGCTTTTCCTCTTATCTGTGCTGCTGTTCGTGGGGGTGAGACTGTGCAGGAGGGCCAGGGCATCCTCTCTGGGTGGCTGCTCTGTGCCTGAGGGCCACTTTCCTGGCCACCTGGTCGATGTCAGTGGGGCGGGAACCCTGTCTCAGAGCTACCAGTATGAGGTGTGTCTATCCGGAGACTCTCAAAGTAATGAGTTCAGATTCTTGAAGCCCATGTTTTCCAATATTCTAGACTAAAACTGTGGTGGGCAGTCAGGAGATAATCCATTCTTCCCAAGTATTTTAGAATGTGAAATTTCACTTGATGTGTAATTCTGACTCTTTAGATTTTGTGGGGGTGTTTTCAAAAATTGGTAGCAATGTTTACTTGTATTTGTTTTTCCTTTTCTCTACTAGTTTAAATAGTATTGTTTGTTTAGTAGTTTGCTAACTGTAAAAGTATTTTTCCAGTTCTGTTCTTACTGAACTGTTACATTAGGAAGCTCCATGTTCCTGATTGAATTTGCAGTACTCTCTCCCAAAGAATATGAATTTTTTCTAATGCACCCAATTCTAATTTGAAAAGTACATTTCCTGGTCTACGGGAACAGATAAAGTTTATAGAGTGCTGTGTTGTTTGGAGGCCCTAGTTTGGGTCACCCTGTAATTCCAGAACTTAGAGATGGAGGCAGGCTATCAGGAATTCAAGATTATCAACTACAATAGAGAATTCAAGCTTAGTCTGGGCTATATGATGAAAAGAGCATATTTTCTCAACAAAAAGATACATTCTTGAATGTGTAATGCCACACAAGAATTTCTGATTTCTTTTCAATCACACTTCATTTTAGAATTGGAAGCCCTTAGTTTTGTTTTCTTTTTTGTTTTTGTTTTCGTTGTTTTGCACAGCTAAGACTTTGGTCGCTGTGTGTGTGTGTGTGTGTGTGTGTGTGTGTGTGTGTGTGTGTGTGTGTGTGTGTGGAAGCATTTCATATTCATTAATTCCAAGTTTCTTCCAGATTATGTTTTCTATTTTCCAACAGGAAGTAACAAAGTAATTTCAATCTTTTCAAAGATATCACTGTAAGTATTGTCTCATGAAAAATATATCCACATCACCTATTCTTCCTTGTCTAAATTAACATAGAAAATAATAAAAATCTTCTTCATTGTCTTTAGTTGATGGGAGTGCTTGGCATGTTGCTTCAAGACTGTGTTCAAGAAGCTTCTGTAAAGCCAGTACAGTCCAGGAACAATGATATATTTTTTGTTGTTATCACTTATTGCAGTGAATAAATCTTGACGTAAACCCCAACTTCTGGACTCAGATTAGCTTCTGGTGGTATAGCATGCCAATATCTACTTGTTTTGGTTGATGGCATTGCTCTGATTGATAAGGAATTTGGAAGAAAGTGCATTATAGAATTAACATTAATTATCCAAATTTTAATAGTGGTTACATTAATGTAATATTGAATGATTTGGAGAAATTGTTCAGAAAAAAAATGTTGACCTCAAAGATGTTCAGTCCTGTTTCCTAGCACCTATAAATATTCCGTTAGATTGGAAAGATAAACTACAAATTAAAGTTGTCAATAAACTAAATTTAAAGTAGAGAGTATATCCTAAATCATTTGAATGGGTCTGATAGGAGCAGTGAAAGACTTTAAAAGCAAAGGTGAATCTACCTTGAGATGAACAGCCAGGCATTGTGGCACATGCTTTTAATCCTGGCACTTGGAAGACAGAGTTAGGCAGAGTCCAAGGCAAACCTTGTCTAGTGAGTTCTAGGACAGCCAAAGCTATATAGTGAGACCCTGTGTTGAGAGAGAGAGAGAGAGAGAGAGAGAAAGAGAGAGAGAGAGAGAGAGGAAGAAGAAGAGGAAGAAGAAGAAGAGGAGGAAGAAGAGGAAGAAGAGGAAGAAGAGGAAGAAGAGGAAGAAGAGGAAGAAGAGGAAGAAGAAGAAGAAGAAGAAGAAGAAGAAGAAGAAGAAGAAATTTCCTAAGGACTGTAGATGTAACTGCAACAGATGCAACTGAAGGAAAGATTTTAAAATTATGGAAGTGGGGCCATCAGTGGTGTCACACATCTTTTAATCCCAACACTGGTGAGGCAGAGACAGGCAGATCTCTGAGTTCAAGGCCAGCCTTGTCTACAGAGTGAGTTCTAGGACAGCCACGGCTATGTAGAGAAACACTGTGTCAAAGAGAAAGCAAATATATCATATTTGGCTGTGGTCAGATGACAGAAGTCATCTGTGTCTTGCAGACACAGAATAGAAAAAGTGCAGATAATTTCTAAGTACAAACTTGATAGAAATGCAATAGTAACAAGTCTATTAATGAAGATACAAAAGGAAGTGAGAAATGTGGTGCTTATAGGAACATATTGGCTTATAGAACTTATAAATCATTTAAAGCAAACTATGGTGAAAATATGGGCATTAAAGTTACTAATAGAAACATTCTACACAAGGAGAACACTATTGAAAATTAGAGGAAAATTAATACTTTCATTGTTATATAGTGACAGAAACCTTAGCTGGATTGTGACCTGTTATATGAGGAAAAGAATTAATGCATTTGGATGTTTGGCTGAGGGAATTTCCAGGAAAAGTATTGAAAGTACAGCCTGATTTCTTCTCACTGTTTGTGGTAAAATATGAGATGAATGGATGGAGGAAATTTTCTTCCTGATTGCATTGTAATGTATGTTAAAATCAGGATATTCACTGCCAGGGATGCATGTGTTGGAGGGAAAATCATAGGTTCAACAGGGAAGCCTTTCATTAGTGCCTGGGAAATTCCAGAGTAGTTATAATGTAAGAGGTTTTCTATTAACATGTTTTAATGACTTTTCTCTCATGTACATAGATAGCTATAATGTGACACAGATTGCAGTGATTGCATTTTCCATACTCCGTGACTTACAGAACTTTCAGAAAGTTGGTCTCATCTTTCCCATCTCCATTATGCCTGGTAATGGGTTAGAAAATAGGAAGTATTATTTTTCTCCAGATTACTGTTATTAACAGCTAATCAGTAGGAGTATTTTCTTTCCTTTGGAAACACTTATGACAAATTTCAAAATAATGTTGATTTGAATACAAAATGAGAGAAGGAAGTTTATTAGTGTTCATTTAGATTTGGTCTTTCTCTTGATCTTTCTAACTATCACTCTTGGGTTAATCCTGACAGTCTTCTCTAACAATCCTCACATCTTTTTACATAGGCCCAGAATACCTATTCAAACTTGTTAGGTCAGTTCATTCAAGTTTCCTTTGTCTCACAAATTGTTTAGCAATTGTTTCTTCCTCTTCTTTATAATGAAGGTTTATATGAGTTATTTGTGTTGGTTTAAATTAAACTTGTCTCCTGCAGGCTCATATGTTCAAACACTTGGTGCCCAGCTGGGGAGACAGTGTGGGACTGCTGGAGAAAGTACCTCATAGGGTTGGGCTTCGAGAGTTCGTAGTATTGTCTAACATCCAGTTGCCTCTATCTGCTTGATTTTTGTGGTTGAAGATGTGATTTGTCAGCTTTTTGCTCTGGTGGCTGCTTCCATAACTCCCCAACTATTATGGTCTTCCCCTCTGGAAACAAGCAAAAATAAACTCTTTCTTCCCTCAGTCTCATTTGGGTATGATATTTTATCACATGAAGAAAAGAATAACAAACAAAGTTTTATTATTTTTCTTTATTTTATGAAATTGATATAATTTAACATTAAAATAATTCCATGGGTAATTTTTTCATCTGGGAAGACGACATTGCAATCTCAACTTCTTATGTCAAAATTTATTCAAGGTATGGAATATTGGAAAGATATTATTTATAATATGATGGGGGATGTCCTTCTGTATATATGTTTCTCTTATTGGTTGATGAATAAAACACTGATTGGCCAGTATCCAGGCAGGAAGCATAGGTGGGACTACCACACCAGGAGAAGGCTGGGAAGAGGAAGGCAGAGAGGAGCCACCAAGAGTTGCCATGCAGTCAATGAAGGAATAACATGCTGGAGCCTTCTCTGGTAAGACCACGTGGTAATACTTAGATTAATAGAAATTGGTTAATAATTAAGACAGAGCTACCCAGAAAGAAGCCCTAGCCATTAGCCAAACAATTTATAAAATAATATATATCTTTGTGTGTTTATTTGGAGCTAATCAGTTGTGGGACCAAGAGGAACAGAAACTCCAGCTACAATAATATTTATCTTTTCATGTATTTAGGCTATATAATTATGCCCTTCTTTTCATTCTAGATATTAGCAATATGTGTTTTGTCCCATCTTATCATGAACATTAATATGAGGATAACACCTTCATTAATTTTAAAAGTAAGTCAGCATTCCCTTTGATACATTGCCTATTTCTATTTTCTGTTTCATGTAATTCTACTATCATGTCATAATTACTCATATCTCCTTTGTGTTTAACTTTCTCTTTTGTTAGCTTTCTTATTTACTCTATTCCTGACTTTTCTAATTTAAATCAAAGCACATAAAATATAAATAAGTTGTACATTTTTCCCTGTGTGGTACTCTTGTTTTTAAGGATATTCAATTGAATTTGTCATTTGCCATCTTCTTTGACAGGTAGGCCAATTATAAGGGTATTGCTTGATTTGAGAATATATTATGTGTAACTGCAGCCCTTGAAAACTGTTTGAATTATTTTATCCAAAGTATCCAATATATTGGTAAAAATCCCATGTCCATTTGAAAGAAATGCATATTCTATAGTTGGTTGGAATGAAGATTCATAAATATTAGTTAAAAGTTGCTTAAGAAATTTAAATGTTAGTTATGCATAATTTCCTATATGTCTAATAATTTACTAGGAGAATGTGCTAATTTCTTAAAGTTTGATAGCATATTTATTTGCCTGTCTCTCTGTTCAAGTCTAGTATTTTAAAACTTTATCACTTTGAATCAGTTATTTGATTCACACAGGTAGGGAGTTTTTGTTATCTGTTTTGTTTTAGTGTGATGAGTTTACATTTGTCATTGTGAAATATGCCTTTTTTGGTTTCTAGTTAATATGTGTCTGATGTAGCTTCCCATAGCTATATTTTTTGAGTTACAAATATTTCTTTACTAAACTATACAAAAGTGGGAAGATAATGGGCTAAGTTGTCAGGCTTGCTGAACCATGGTCCCAACTTGCCCAGCACTGTCTGAGAGGAGGAGGCCTGAGGGAGACTGAAGAGTCAAGCAAGAGCTGGGTGGGACAGGACAAGAGACTTGGGTACAGACTGTGTTATGGGATGGCTAACGTAGGAGTGCCAGGAAAATGTAACTGTGGAGGGAGGCAAGAAGGAAGCAAAGAAGTGGAAAGGGGCAAGTAGAGGCAGCTGGGGAGCTCAGATGGAGCAGGTCATGAGTTGGAACAATGGCGATGAGGGTAGAGGGGCTGTTTCTGGAGACATGTAATTGGCAAGTCAGGGAGGAGCAAGACGGCATCAGCTCTGGGGCAGGGCGATAGCAGATACCCAGGAAAGGTGGCTATACTCATCTGTTCCCACACTAACTCCAGACCCCAAGGGGCCCCACAACTAGCCCAATAGCACTCAACCTAAAGCCACACTGTTCTACTTTGCTCCACTGATGCTATGTTAAAAGACTGATCAATAATAACTTGGGAAGGAAATAATTAACTCTAGCTCCTGAGTCACAACCCAGAATTGAGGGAATCAAAGGAACAGGGCTGCAAGACCTGAAGCAGAGACCATGGAGGAACATTAGGCTGGCTTTTCTTTTGATTGCTCAACTACTTTTCTTACACAACCCAGACCCTCCGGCCTAGGGATGGCAACACCTCCTATATCACCTATTAATAAAGAAAATATCTCAAAGATTGAGCACAAGTCAGTCCAATGAAAGCTTTCCTCAATATAGGCTTTGAGGGACTCCGGTTTGTGTCAAGATGACAAACTGTCTT